TCCCGGCCTGGCTAGGATGAGGTGAGTTGGTGTGTGATTTGTGGCAGATACTGCGGATGGGGCAGGCACATGAGAGACGCTGGGTGCTGCCATTATGTGTCTCTGGTTGCCACAGGTCAGGAATCTGGGCTCCCAGCTGACAGAAGATCTGATTCCCAGATGTCAGAGGAGACAAGATCAGCAGCCACCCTGGACACAAGAGCAAGCCACACCCACTGGGCTGTGTGTGACCGAAAGGGCTTCCTGGGAAGAAAGTGGCTGGTTGCACCAGAAGTAACTTTCAGAGTTGGTTAAGTGTGGCAGAAAGGGCAGAAGTGTGCCCTGGGCCAGCTGCCCTGGATTAGATCCCGGCTCTAACACTCAAGGCTGTGTGGCTGTGCGCAGGTTCCGCAGCACTCTCAAACCTCAGTTTCCCCATCCGCAGGTGAGACCAGGGCTGAGTTAATGGACTTGCCTGGATGAACAGACTCCTGGAAAGGATCGTGGAGCACTATGCTTATCCGTGAATTCACTGATGCTCACAGCTGAGGGAAGTGGTCACTGTGGGGCCTCAGAGGCTCTGTCTCCTCCTGGCCTCTTCCTCGGGGCTCTGCTTCCCAGCCCCCATGAAGTGAGCAGCTCTCCTCCGCCAGGCCCCTCCACATGATGCTCCTGCCTTGGAGCAGCCGGCCACGTACTGAACCCTCTCAAACCATGAGCCAAAGCCTCTCATTTGTGTTGTTTATTTTCGGTACCGGGGATCAAACTTGGGACTTTGCGCTTGTGAAGCAGGCGGCAGAACCACTGAGCTAAATCCAGGCCCTCTCCTTAATGCTGCGGACGTCAGGCAAGGAGAACGCTGACACTCAGGCTGCTGAGCATAACGTACGAATGCTCCAGCGGGTTGACGCGCCCACGCAGCTCTGGACACCGAGTCACTCACCTGCTAGAGGCAGGGGTGGGTCATTACTGTCATCCTTTCCGCCCCTGCGACTGTTCTGTGGGCTGTAGGAGCGGAGTTAGCTTGGGATGCTTTGTGGTACAGCGACCCTGGAAGTTTGTTCATTCAGAAGGGCTCAAGTAGGATCGGCCAAGGTGTCTTACTTTTCTCGTTGCTGGGACAAAATACCCAAACAGCTGAGGAGGAGGTTTATCTTGGCTCACAGTGTGTGGAGGCTTCAGTCCGTGGTCTGCCTGCTCCAAAGCTGGGTGGCACCGCAGAAGACCCCTGCTCAGGGAGCCCGGCGAGGAGGGGCGGGAGGGAGGAGCCTCTGCAGGCCACGCCCCCCGACCCACCTCTTCCACCCGGCAAGTTCCCTGACTGCAAGTGGGCCGCCAGAGCTCCGCCTGGAAGCTCACGAGGCTTTGGGGGGACATGTACCTATAACCCTCAACGAAGGGCTTGCTCCCTTAGGTGCTGCGGATATGGTAGTGACTGAAACCACACACACACACACACACACACACACACACACACACACGGGACGGGCTAAATACGGCAGCAGATGATTACTTGTAAATACGATCACATATTGTGCTGAGAGTCAGAAGGAAACAGATGGCTGCTATGAAAGAGAAAGCATAACAGCAGGGAGAGGTAGACGCCGACCAAGGAGGAAGGCGGGCACTGACGCCCCAGGCCCGGAAGAGGCTACCAAGGCTGGTGCCAAGAGAAGCCAAAGAAGGAAGAGGCTGAGGATCCAGGAAGCCTTGAGGGCCTGAGACAGAAGACACTGAGAAGGTCTCACCTGCCTTCCTGGTAGAGCGACAGGCCCTGGTGTCAATGGTGACCCCTGTGTGCACCCAAAGCCCCCTGCTGTCCAGCTCTGCCTGGGCTCCCTCTGCAGCAGGGGCCCGGCCACGGGACAGGGCCTCCCTCTCCTTGGCCACTGAGCCAGTCCCACACCGCTCCCAGAATTCGTGTAGTGGAGCTGTCCCCCGCTGCGGGGACCAGCTAGGTTACAGTCCCTCCACCGGCTGCATCCCATCCCTACAAGGGCCCCCAGGGTCCTCTCCCAGGGAACTGGCCCCGCTGGAATCGACCTCAGGCTTTGCTCCTGGGAACACAGACTAGGACCACCCTGGGGCTCCCAGGAAGGCTGGAGGGGCAGAGTAGGCCAAGGCAGGGAAGCACAGACAGTGCCAGCCTGGGAGGCACAGCTGGGGTGTCGGGGCCCTGACTTTTCAGGACATGTGGTTTCTTCCGGTGCAGAAGTCGCAGAATTGTCCCTGTGAGCCCCCCCAACCCTGCTGGCACACCCCTGGGCTCCCGGCCACACCCGGCGCTCCCAACCTCGGCCCCATGAGAGGTGCGGAGCAGCAGAAATGCCCAGCCCTGACTGCACATCTGCCTGGAGGAGGCGCTCGCGGGTCCCCTGAGGCCGGCTTGGCCACACCCCCAACCACGTCTGTGGGGTCCCCACCTTCGCTGTCCCAAGAGGAGGACTTGGAGCCTTTTGTCAGAGCACATGCAACTCTGGCTGCAGACAACCTGACACTACTAGGCAGAACAGGTTGGAGCCGGTTCCTCCTCCCAGACACACTCCTGCACACACGTGTGCCGAGTATGCAACGTGAGCGTTTGCAGAGGGGAGCACAACGTGATTGGTTTGGTCACTGGCCGCAGGCCTTTCCCCTTCACTCCGGTGGAGTTGCTCTTCCCGGGCGCTGGGCCAGGCCCCGGCTTGCTGTGCAGAGGTGACACTGGCCGGCCCTGAGCTGCTTGTGTGGTTTGGTTGAGCTCCTGGGCTTCTTCCAGTCTCACAGCAAATTCTTGCATCTCTCCACCGGCCAGGGCAGCAGAGTGGAGAATCAGAGCCGCCCTGAACTGGCCACCTGCTGACCTACACACCCTGCAGCAAGAACTAAGGTCTGGGTCTGAGCCCTGCATCTGGAGAGCTCTGTGGTGCAGCACTACTACAGCCACCCTAACTCCATGGGGCTCTGAGGCCCAGCATGGAGATTCGGGTGGTGCTGGCGAGCTCTGCCGCGTCCAGCTCTGTGGTGTGTTGGGGACACAGGAACTCGGGCTCAGACAGGATCCAGCCAAGCAGACTGCAGTGCAGACTGTGTCTGGGGTTTGTGCCCAGCCCTGGGTTGGCAGGGGCCTTGCGTTCCTGTGAAGAAAGCTCCGTTCCTCAGTCCGGCCAGGGATTCTAGGAAGGAGGTGTCAGCAGACTGGGGTATTTGCCTTGACTGGCATCCAGCAGGCCAGAGAAGAGGCTGCGCGCGCCCAGCCAGGCAGCATCTGACTGCACCACCTGCCTGCGTGTGCCTTGGCGGGGCTGTCAGTCCCCACTGCAGGCCTCACAGCTGGGGAGGCGAACAGAGGGGCTCTGTGTGGAGCGTGTGGTCTCTCGCAGCGTCCCCTTCCTGCCTTCGTTCACGTGCCTTGACTGGCATCCAGCAGGCCAGAGAAGAGGCTGCGCGCGCCCAGCCAGGCAGCATCTGACTGCACCACCTGCCTGCGTGTGCCTTGGCGGGGCTGTCAGTCCCCACTGCAGGCCTCACAGCTGGGGAGGCGAACAGAGGGGCTCTGTGTGGAGCGTGTGGTCTCTCGCAGCGTCCCCTTCCTGCCTTCGTTCACGCCAGATGGACTCTCGGAGCCAGATGGACTCGGGCTATGATGACAGCACAAGCTGCATCCCGGTCCACCAGCTGTGACCTCAAGCCAGTGGCTTACCTGGCCGGGCCTCGATTTCCCAACTTTAAACAGTGATAAACATAGAGCCTTGCTCAGAGGGTCCCATGAGCCGGGGTGAGCCAGGCCTTGAAGCGCTGAGCGAGCGCCTGCTCATCCAGGCACATGGGCCTCCATGGGCACTGTTCAGCTCTCACACACAGAGGCCATGGAGGCCCAGGGGTTCATCTGGCCCAGGCTGGACCCCAGAGACTGGGGTGGGGCCCTGGAGACAAGACCAAGAGGCAGAGTTGGCGCCAGGACAGGGAAGCCAGCGCTACCATGGTGGGTAATGGGACTTGGGTCACATGGAGGAATCAGGTACGGGCACCCATGGAGCCTGTCACGGAGCAGGTGACATCGGGGACAGGAAGGGGACGTAGCTATCAGACAGTGAGGGGTGCAGCTGTGGCCAAGAGAGAGGGTGACAGACCCTTTGGCTTGGGCAATTGCCACCCTGTGGGAACAGAGGCCCAGTGTCACCAAAGGATCTCAGAGAAGTGGGATTTTCTACGGGAAATCTCCCAAGTAGTGCATGTGGCCTGGGAACTTTTCAAAGGCATTGGGAACCAGGCCTGGACCCACCCAACCCGGCACACTGGGGCCTGGCTGCCCACTTCCTGGTCTGCCCACCTCCTGACGGGAACCCTAAGGGGAGGGGAGCCTCTTCCAACCGCAGCTTGCACAGCAGGAAGCAGGAACCTCAGGCCCAAGCTGGACACAGTGACCACTCCACCTCTCTCCTCTCCTTTCTCGCTGTCTCTCTGCTTCTGCCCCTTGCCCGGTCAAACTACACAGCCACCTCCAATTCTTGTGACTCAGAGTGAGCGCTAAAGCGCGGTGGGCGGGAGATGGGCGGCAGCAGAGGGAAGCATTGGTTTGCGGCATTTTCTGATTTCCATGGTGTAAACCTTTGCTCCCCCTCTCATTTCCATTAGCAACCGAGAGAGTGTGGGGCTGGCAGCGCCAGGCACAGCACCGAACAGCAGCCGCAGCACAGATACCACAGGCACAGGTCACCGCATGGGCACGGTTGGCAGCAAACATGCAATGCAACCATCAGAAAGTGGCTGCCACCTCTGTCTAATGGAGCTGCCTATTATTAGCTGGCATGACTTCGTTCTTGGTAACAGTTGGGCTCACGGCCGTACCACAACATCCTGGACACTTTAGCCATCGGCTCGTGTGAATCGACACAACATGGATCCAACTCTGCTGCATAAGTGAACGGATGCAGAAAAATAACAAACAGGTGCTTGGTGGTCTAAGGACCAGGACTGCAGGAAGCATCCGACCCACCCTGGGTGGACAATCCAAGCCCCCAGGTCCCTGACTCGCTTACCTGCAGCAGGAAGTCGAAAAGCGCCAGGCGCGCCCACTCAGTGCGGTGGATGCCCGGGCACGGGGCCTGGCCTGGTCCACCGCTGCAGCCGTGTGCCAGCAGGGCCTGGTACTGCTGCCAGCCCAAGGCCACAGAGTTCTGGTCCTCCTCTGGGTCCTCCAGGTGCTGCACGTCAGGTGCCCACCAGATGACAGGCCTGGCAGCGCCATCCGTGTAGCGGTACGGGAGGAGGGGGCTGCGGAAGCGGCGGGCTGCAGCAGGCAAACTCCGGCACAGCCCCAGCACGCGGTCCAGGTGGAAGGACAGCACCTCTAGCAGGTCCCCGGGCCGCTTGACCAAGCCACAGAGGCCCTGGGAGCAGTGTGGGCTGAGCCCGGGAGGGGCCGCATCGTGGCGGGTGCCCTCAGCAGACAGCTCCACCTGCAGTACCTGCCCATGACCAGGGACCCTGGCTTTGCCCACCACCTCTCCCTGGGCCAGCAGCTGCAGCGTCTGCACATCATGCTCGGTGAGCCAAGGGGGGGTCTGCCCACTGGACCCCGGGACAGCCAGTGGCTCAGTGTCACACCACACGGACCCCTGCAGATCCCCAACAGAGCCAGGCCATGGACGGGCCCTTGACATGGGAATGGGGTCCCCTGTTTGCTTCCCACCCATGAAGACTCTGCCCCCCACTCTCAACAGACCCCTGCCTTCTGCCAGATGGGACCAGGAGGTCGGCCCGGCATCAGCTGCCCCATTGGTCCGTGCATGCTGGCTGCGCAGAGTGGCTATCTCTTTCTGCATCTCCTCCATGGGAGTCTTGTGCCCTGGCTGGGCTGGGCCTTTGGCTCCTGAGTCTCTGACCTCTTCTTTCCAAAGCACAAGATGCTGGGTGTGGAGTCCTCGCTCTCCTGTCATAGTCACATCCCTCCTGACTCTACCGGGATGCTTGCTGTCCCTTCCTGGTGGCTTCCTGCTTCTGGCCACTCGCCTCCTGTGGGCTTGTTTCTCAGCACCAACAGTAGTGGGACTCCTGGGCCAAGCCCGCCTTTGCCTGAGCTCCAGCATCCTCGTCTTCTGCCTCTGACTAGAGCTCAGAACCTGCCAGGCTTGGCGTATGTGGGCACCAATGTCACCCTGGGGCTCCACGGGGCCAGGGTCTGGGTGGGTGCCTGGACACTCTGGGGGGAAGTAAGTGATGGTCACCACCAGCAGGGTCACCAACAGGCAGAAAGCCACCACTGTCCACCTCTTGCCGTGCAGCCTTCTCCAGAGCCAGGATGCCTGGGGAGGGACAGAAGAACACAGCTTGAGATGTGGGAAGGATAACAGCCCCAGCCCGCACAACAGTGAGGACAAACAATGGAGCACCTTGCTGCCTGGCAGCGTGAACACACACACCCATGGGTGGAGTCCCCAGCGCAGAGGTGGTTGCCAGCCAGTGGCACTGGACTCGAGCCCAGCTCATCCTGCCTGGGCATCTCTGCTGCTACTCTCCACCCTCCACGCTGGAGAAACAGCTGCATAGCTTTAGCTGCCACCTCCCACAGAGGACTCTTCCTGTGCTTGTCCCCACGGTGACGCACAGATGACTTTGCCTGGACTCCCTCGCCACTGAGCATGGTGAGAACCTAGATGGCAAACCTTTTAGAACTTTTAGAACAATAATAAACAGCTGGCTGTGACACACGTGCCACAGTTTCGCCACCACTGGACTAGACTCTCACAGGTGGCTGGCACCAAGTCCGTAAGTCGGCTTGGGTCCTATGCCTGCATCCAGCAGACACCAGAGGTCTGATTGCTTTCTCCATCCATCCAGTAAGCAAGGACAGGCCTCAACTTTGATGGTTGCCACAGTCTATGGTGTATGAACAGAGGGGCCTCTGGAGCACTGGAGGCACCTCACAAACCCACAGGCCCTAAAGCTAGGAGACAATCACGACTTCCTGGATTTCAAAACTACAAAGTCCTGGAAAGAAACCACTCATTCAAAAAGACAGCAGAGGGCCGGGGATTTAGTTCAGTGGTTTCAAAAAGACAACAGAATATTTTTTACTCAGTTTTTTTTTTCCTTTTTCCATCATTGGTTTTTGGGGAGTTTGGGTTTTTCTCCTTTTTCCTTTTCTCCCTTTAATTATTCTTTCCTTATTATTTTTCATTTTCCCTTATTTTGCTCTCTTTTTTCTTTTTCTTGGCTGTTCTTTTGTTTCTTTTATCTAATCTTATTAGTTTCCTTTTAGTCCTTCATGACATCCTTTACGTCACTTTTCTGCCCTCCTCATCTTCCATTAATTAATCTTTCAAATTTTACTTTTCCCATTTTCTGGTTCTCCATGCCCATTATTAGCATAATAACATTAGCATAATAATAACATTAGCATAATAACTAGCATAACCATTAAGTTTTATGAATATTTAGACAGAAAGTTAACTCTATACTATTCCCATTGAATACTGATCTATTGTTATTGGAAGTGTAGTTTTTGCACTTAGCAGATAGTTCCAGTGTGTCAATATTTGATTTGCCTTGGTGTTCTACTGTAATTATAGGTGTCTCTTCTGTAGATTAGGGGTGGGACAATGCTGGTTCCTAGGTTATGTCAATGTCCAGCTTGTCTTTGATGCAATTATTGGTGTTGATTTTATTGCTATTGCCACAGCAGCATAGTTGTTGCCCTTGGTTTTCCTTTGTATTCCAATGTCTGGGTTACTTTGTGTCATTAACAATATTGCTGCCAATTCCCAAGGAAGTTTGTGCAGCCTTTCCACCTAAATAAGCAGAGGTGGTTAGATTTGGGGATAGAAGCAAAGGCCTACAGTTAGCAATGCCCAGAGTGCATCACCAAAAAGCAGACACTGACTAAAGAGGCCTCCATCCTAGCAACGAAGTCTCCTACCATAATCAACCTGCAAAGCTCAGCACACACACACACACACACACACACACACACATGAAATATAGAAGACAAGGCAACAAAATGCTCCCCCAAACTCCCAACTCCCCCAAAACTGATCCATGGGGGACAGAAGGGGAGAGAAGGAAAAGTCACACTGCCAAATTGTTTGAAAAGATAAGAGAGGAGATTAAAAATAGATCAAGAAGATAAAAAATAGATCAATAAGGTGCTCAGTGAGCTCAAAGATAAAATTAGACAGACAATGGATTTAATAAAACAAGTTTACAGAAGACACTAATAAAAAGCTAGCTGAGCTAAACAAAATGATAAAAACCATAATGACCAGTATAGCAAAGAATTAGAAGTAAAAAAAAAAGATACAAAGTATCTTTTTAAAGTATCTGTTAAAGTATTTATTTTAAAAAGTATTAAACAGCCGGGCGTGGTGGCTCACGCCTGTAATCCCAGCACTCGGGAGGCTGAGGCAGGAGGATCACTATGAGTTCAAAACCAGCCTGGGCTACATAGTGAGTTCCAGATCAGTCTCAACTACATAGTGAGACCCTGTCTCAAAAAACCAAAAAAAAAAAAAAAAAAGTATTAAACAAAGTATCTATTAAAGGTACCAGCAGCAGAAGTGACCAATATGAGGACAGAGTGTCAGAACTAGAAGATAAGACTGCTATCAGAGACCACTTATTCAGAGATACCTTAAAAACAAGAGAAGGAGGAAAATTGATTAAAAGCTGCTAAGATTAATTAGAATTAGTGAAAACTCAGAAGACAGCACAAATGGCAGAAAACGCCTATTTACTGAAATAGCAGAAAACTTTCTAAATATGGGGAAAGAATTCAACATACGGATAAGTGAGCCATACAGAAGGCCAAATTGTATGATCAGAAAAGAAACTCCATAACATATCATAGCCAAAATTTTAGAAATTCAACACAAGGGCCAAATCTTAAAAGCTGTTAGAGAAGAACCAATGAATTGCTTATAGATCTAAACCCATGAGAGCTACAGCAGACTTCTCAACACAACCCTCAAGGCAGAAGAGCTCAGAGTAAATTTCAGGCCCTGAAAGAAAACAATATTCGGGGCTGGGGATTTAGTTCAGCATTTCGGCGGCCTGCCTAGCAAGCGCAAGGACCCGAGTTCGATCCCCAGTACCAAAAAAAAAAAAAAAAAAAAAAAAAAAAGAAAGAAAGAAAGAAAAGAAAACAATATTCAACCCAAACTCATATATCCTGCAAAACTGTCTTTCAAAACTGATGGCTAAAAAGGTATTTTTGTGACCGAGAGTACCTTAGGAAATGCATGACTACCAAACTAGCACTTAATTTTTTTTTTTTTTTTTTTTTTTTTTTTTTTTAGTCTCACTATGTAGTTGAGAATGACCTGGAACTCACTATGTAGCCCAGGCTGGTCTCGAACTCACAGTGATCCTCCTGCCTCAGCCTCCCAAGTGCTGGGCACTTAAATGTCTTAATGATACCCTAGAAAGAGACAATGCAGCTAACAAAGCCAGAAGGTCTAATGGATTAAATATACCTGTCAAGGTGAGCTGTTATATAGAAGGGGGATCACCAAGAGGAAAATAATGCAATGATAGCAATCAGTCAGTGTCTTTCAGTAATAACTCTCAGTGTGAATGACCTCAACTCTCTAATCAAAAGAATACAATGGGCTGGGGATTTAGCTCAGTGGTTTCGGCACCTGCCTCGCAAGCACAAGGTCCCGAGTTCAATCTCGGGTACCAAAACAAGACATACATAGCAGAATGGATCAAAAAACAAAATCCAAAATGCAGTATACAAGGAACAGTTAACCCAAGAAGAAATTCATAGACTAAAAATCAAAGGATAGAAAACATTATTCCACATAATGGAAATCCAGAGATGAGCAGGAGTAGCTATCTTACTTTCAGACAAAGTGCACTTCAAGTGAAAACTGATCAGAAGAGGCAAAGAAGTCATTATATACTGATTAAAGTAACAATTCAACAGAGGGGACAGCAATTCTAAACATACAGGCACTGGACACAAGCACACTTCAACTCCATCAAATAAACACTGCTGGACATAAAAGATCAGATAAACACTGACAAATCTCAATACCCCACTGTCAAAAATAGATGAATCACCTAGTCAAAAAAATGAACAAAGAAATATCAGGGTTGAACCAAACCTTCAAATAAATGGACTTTAGAGCTACAGAATATTCTACCCAATAACAGAATACACATTCTTCTTAGCAGCACATGGAACTTTCTCCAAAATATACCACATACTAGCCAGTAAAGCATGCTTAAGTAAATGCAAAAGAACTGAAATTATCTTGTGCATATTATCAGATCATAGAACAGGGGAACTAGAAATAAATGGCAAAAGAAACCACAGAAATTCTGCAAACGTATACAAATTAAATAATATTCTCTTGAATAATCAATGGGTCACAGAAGAAATTAAACAGTTCTCAAAGCCAAAAGATAATGCCAGACAACATACCAGAACTTATGAGCTAAAACAAAAGCAGTCCTAAGAGTGAATTTTATAGCTGTGAATGCCCATATCAAAAAAACAGAGGAAACCCAGATAACCTAATCTAGAAAAGTAAGAACAATCAAAACCCAAGATTAGTAAAAAGAAGGAAACTGTAAAGATCAGAGCAGAAATTAATGAAATTCAGACTAAAAAAATACAGAGAATTAGTGAATTGAAGAACTGGTTCTTTGAAATAATAATTTAAAAAATACACAAACCTGCAGCCAATCTTACCCAAAAAAGGAAAGAAAAGATGCAAATCAATACAATTAGAAATGAAAAAGGTAGGTCACAATGGACACCACTGAAATATAAAATATTAGCTACTACTTTGGAAAACTGTACTCCAATAAATTGGAGAATTCAAAAGAAATTAATAGATTCCTCAATATGTATGAATTACCAAAGCTGAAATAAGAATATATAATCCTATATCATTAAATTAAAGCAGTAATAAAGACATTACCAACTAAGAAAAGCCCAGCTCCAGTTGGATTCACTACTGAATTCTGCAAGATCTCCAGAAGATCTAAAATCAATACTCTTCAAACTCGTTAACGAAATTGAAACGTAAGGAGTAATCACAAAGTCATTCCTGACTTGACCCCGCTGCCCCGCTGTCCCCAGGTGGACAACCCTCCTGTTCGTTGCCGGCTTCCACCCCAAGTCACTCTGTTTTCTGGCAGGAGAAGTCAGCATCTTTGGTGACAACCCTCAACCAGCTTCCGTCCTGAGGGGCAACTCTGAGAGACACAGTGCACCAAGGGTCCACGGGGGCTGCCTGTCACCAGGTGTCACCTGGTGATCCCACGTTTTTGCCCTGATTCGTTTTTAATTTGGTCT